AAACTTGGATTAACGTTTTGAGGGGCAGTATGTAGCATTAGCACCTGCAATCAAGTGATCTTAAGCAAGTTTAGTTGTGATTTCCGCGACCCCCGTATGCTGTTGTGTCTTTTGTGTATAGAAGCTGATTTATGACCTCTCCTCCCAGGTGAATTGGGAGAATGTGCAGTTCACAGATTTTAGTGGTTAGATTTAGAACAGTCTTTTAGGAAGACAAGTCTAGATTGTGATGTAAGCCCTGAAGTACAAGATTTTATATCTGTCATGACACCTACTGGTATCGTTATATCTGCATATTCTCATCATAAGTATATATGTATCTTCGGTCATTGTCTTTCTAGATCGATGCTTCCCTGACAGCGTAAGAGGACTACCTACCATAGTCTAATTTTGCACTGCATGAGGAGGATTTCTTTTGTATCTGTTTGGAATTTCCTGCTTTTATAAATATCTAATTCTTGGGTTATGCAACAGGTAGAACACATACCTTGTCTTCCAGTTCTTGATCTCTTTTCAGAGCTTGTGGCCTAGAATGGACTCTTCTAATTAGAAACTTCCCTTAGCAGTCTGTTTTCCAAGTTCCTTTTCCTTGAATGGCTGGGATACTGCACCTGCAGTATTGTGAATCATTACAATCATTATAAACCAATAATTTCTCGTAAGAATTAAAAAAACCCAAACAAACAAAAAACCCCCCCAAAATACCACGATGACTGTAGTACTACTGATAATGAGAAATCTGCAGCTCTTTCCCATAATAATACCGTATTCTTCACAGGACACTTTATCTTAAAAAAAAAAAAAAAGAGGCAGTTTTATTTTTTTATTTAGCATCTACCTATTTTGTTCATTAGGGGGCACTGCACAGCTGTAGAAGCATCAGTGGGATTTGCAGAGAAACTTGGATGTGTTTCCAGTGATGCTAGTTCACTTTCCATAACCTCCTCTTCCAGACTGTCCGGGGGCAGTGTAAGATGAAAGTCACTGCTGTAATTTAAGCTGGATTCTGACTAAGACTGGTTTTGATAGCAGTTTATGGCAATTATATGATGCTAGAATATAAACGTTCAAATTCCTTTCCTGTCTGCAGAGATGTGTCTTCGTAGTAGTTCACAGCGACATCTGATTTGCCGTTTGTGTTGGTCTTACACTTAAGAAAACTCATACTTCTACACACTACTTCCTAAACGTTAAACTTTGATTTAGTTTGTATATACAGTTGGAAATACGGGTTACTTCCAATGGATCCCGATGGGGAAATGTTAGTCTTAAACCATTGCTTTCTTTCCAGCACTCTATACAACGTGTATTTTGCTTTTGGACATGGGACTTTCTTGGCGTGAATACCAAAATTTTTGCAACTGGAACAAAATTGCTGTAAAAAGCATTTTGTAAACTCAACACAGGAGCAGAATGCTTTGCAGTAATGAACATTAATTTGTACCAGTACATTTTTGAAGGTAACGTACAGGGAGAAATCTGTTCCCAGGTGTTTGAGTTGATAAGGTGCTACATTGAGAAAATTCCTGATGACTTTGTAGGGGTTTATTTTTCTGTTTGTTTGGTTTAGTGCTCCCTTATACATGTTAGCCTACGTTTGCACAGGTTTCTTTTGAGATTTTTTCCAAATTTCCAAAACTTTCTTTTGGGATATGAGCCATTTTTGTTCTGCCTTATGCTAGGCACCATGCATCTCTGTTAGTTTTACTGGAGCATTTAGGTTATATAGACAGTATTAAAAATGAGGAAATATTGAAAGGGACCTTAAAGATCATCTAGTTCCAACCCCCTTGCTATGGGTTCCCATGGACCAGGTTGCTCAGAGCCCCGTCCAACCTGGCCTTGAATGCCTTCAGGGATGGGGCAGCCACAGCTTCTCTGGGCAATTTATTCCAGTGTCTCACCACCCTCACAGGAAACAGTTTCTTGCTAATATCTCATCGAAATCTCCCCTCTTCCAGTTTGAAGCCATTACCCTTCATCCTATCACTACCTGCCCTTGTAAAAAGTCCCTCTCCAGCTTTCTGTACGCCCCCTTCAGATACTGGAAAGCTGCTGTAAGGTCTCCCCAGAGCCTTCTCTTCTCCAGGCTGAAGACCCCCAACTCTCTCACCATGTCCTCATGGGAGAGGTGCTCCAGCCCTCTGAGATTCTTTGTGGCTTCCTCTGCACCTGTTTCAACAGGTCCATGTCCTTCTTGTGCTGAGGACTCTAAAGCTGGATGCAGTACTCCAGGTGGAGTCTCACAAGAGTGGAGTAGAAGGACAGAATGCCCTCCCTCGCCCTGCTGGCCACACTGCTTTTGATGCAGCCCAGGATGGGGGTGGCTTTCTGGGCTGCCAGCGCACGTTGCTGGCTCCTGTTGAGCTTCTCATCCACCAACACCCCCAAGTCCTTCTCCTCAGGGCGTTTCTCAATCTATTCTCCGCCCAGCCTGGATTTGTGCATGGGATTGCCCTGACCCAGATGCAGGACCTTGCACTTGGCTTTGTTGAACTTCATGAGGTTGGCATGGGCCTACCTCTCCAGCCTGTCCAGGTCCCTCTGGATGGCATCCCTCCCCTCCAGTGTGTCGACCACACCACACAGCTTGGTGTCATCGGCAAACTTGGTCAGGGTGTACTCAATCCCATTGTCCGTGTCACCAGCAAAGATGTTAAGCAGCACTGGTCCCAGCACTGACCCCTGAAGAACGTCACTTGTCACTGCTTGCCACTTGGACATGGAGCTGTTGACTGCAACTCTCTGAGTGTGGCCATCCAACCAATTCCTTATCCATGGAGTGGTCCGTCCGTCAAATCTGTGTGTCTTCAGTTTAGAGACCAGGATGTCGTGTGGGCCAGCATCAAACGCTGTAGAGGAATTTGATGAGGGTAGTCTGTTACTTCTTGGAGTGATGTATTCTCCAGGGGACCTTTTGGGAAGCAATACCTGGTGTGGTACATTGTCAGTCCTATTTTGATGGTTGTGGCATGAGTAGGCACTCACGTCTAATGCTGCTCAGTTCAAGAGTATGACAGATTATACTACGTGAACCAAAGCTGCCTAGAATGAACCTTGTGGCCACCCTTTATGGCTGCAAACACAAATAAAGTAGCCTGGCATTGACAGCTATTGCACTGAATGATTAACTCTCGTCAGGGAAAAAAAATTAATGCTATTCTATGACACATTCAACTGTCAAATGTGAATATATTGTATTCAGTTGGATTTTGGAGGAAAATATTTCACACTGGAAGCAAACAGGGTGATTGATCTGTTGCCGAGGGTGTCTGTTATTCTGGTCCCTGCCAGCCCATCGCTTCGCTTTTACCACCTCTGAAAAAAACCCAACTTTCAGTTGTGTGGAGCCAGTTCCTCGTGGCGATAGTCTGAAACACTTCTCTCTTAATGATTCTGTAAATAACTTTCATCTTGGTTTTATGTTTAAGCCACAGCTGTAGTCAACAGTTTTTTCACTGACTGTAACGTGAAGCATTTTAATGCTTAAACAAAGATTTAAGAGGAAAATCTTAAACAGCTTAGGATAAAAACATGATAGATCTTGTTTTATAAAACTTACCTGTCGCTGATAATTAGGCACAAAATATTAGTATTAAACCTTCTCGTCCAGTTTTAGTTTATTGTATTTTTTTACCCTTCAAGAAAAGTTGAGTTAGTGTATGATGGCATTAATATAGCTGTATACTCAGCCAGGGAGTCATGTACCCTGGTTTTCCAAGCTGGCCATGGTTAGATGCCCTCGTGTTTTCTGAGGAACAACCAAGCGGCCCCTCCACGAAGGAAGAACGTTTACTTCTCTCCGCCGTCCCTCTGGTTCTTGTTTTTTCCCCTTTGTTCCCCCGTGCAGCGCTGAAGGCCTGGTCTGCCGTATTAGCAAACATGTCGCCATCGGGTTGAGGGAAGTGACGGTGCCTGCATCTTCAGTGCTGGCAAGGCCGTGTCAGGAGAACCATGTCCAGCTTGGGCTTCCTCTTGACGCTGAAACAAGCCCGCTGGCAGGGTTCATCACAATGCTGTGAGGAACAGAGCATGTGCTTGAAGGAACATTTGGGGCAGCGGGCTGATTCATTCCAGAGAAAAGGAGCATGAGGAGAAGGGGGGACCTTCCTGCTGTCTTTGACTGTGTGGTGGGATGGGGAAGATGGAGGAGTACTTCTTGCAGCTGCATAGCGCTTCCACATGTGCCACTGTGAAAAATCAATAAAGGAAATCCAATTTTTCCCTCTGAGGGTGGTGAGCCCCTGGGGCAGGTTGCCCCAAGAAGCTGTGGCTGCCCCATCCCTGGAGGTGTTCAAGGCCAGGTTGGACGGGGCTTGGAGCAACCTGGGCTGGTGGGAGGTGTCCCTGCCCACGGCAGGGGAGTGGAGCGAGGTGATCTTTAAGGTCCCTTCCAACATAAACCGTTCTACGATTCTATGAAATCCCGATGATCTACTAGGAAAAAAAAAAAAAAAATTCACTATGAGGGATTTCAGATGTTGGAACAGTTTGTCCAGAAAGGTTGTGGCCTCTCTATCCTGAGAGCAATTCAAAACTCAACATGGCCCTAGGCAACCTGATCTGTGCTGCCTCTGCAGTCGAGCTGGAGGTTGGATAAGATAATCTCTAAGCTCCCTTCCAACCTGAATTATTGATTAGACGGTTGTTAGTGAGGTGAGAGCCCTTGCGGTCCCGTTTAACATGTCTACTGGGTTCTTTTTTTGGAGAAGTAAAGTAAGTCAAACTATTTTTGAGGTAAATAACGTGTGCCTGAGTGCATCTGTGTCTGGGGGACTCATGACTGCTGCTCTCGTTTTACTGAGATTAAGCTCTGAGCAGACAGTTGTCTGTCTCGCCTGTGTCACTGATGCACCTGGTTATTTCATTAACTTTAATAACAAGCAGGAGCATGCAAAAGCAGCAGATGGTTGGATTTCTTCATCCTAGGTCAAACTTCTGGATTTGCGCATACCAAAATGCTTGTAACGCTTTTTGTGTTTGACTTTCAATGTTCACAGCAATTGGAAGAAAAAAGCGAGGATGAAGAGGATAAAGAGTGCTTAAAGCAAGCCATAACTGCCCTGCTGAATCTTCAAAGCAGTATGGAACGGATATGCTCCAAAAGTCTTGCAAAACGACGGCTTAGGTAAACACGTTTCCATTTTTCCTGCTTTCTGCCCTTAATGCTTTGCTATAAATCCAGGGCTCCCAGTTTCCTCTTTTAGTAAACAATGAACAAAATAGCTTGTGACAAGCCTGCTTTTTCAGAGGAAGTGACATCAAAGCCAAGATAATTTGTTATTGTTTTAAACCCACCCTAATTTCTATGTGTCCTTGCATGCTGGTAGTTGAGACATTCTGAGAATTTGCTGGTAAGTAGAAAGTTACGGCATTTGTGGGTTAATTATGCTTAGATAATAAATGTCTGCCTAAAAATATTGTAAAAGTGCATTTGTGTGTGATGAGAAGGGAACGTTCTTGAATTTGAAACTACTTAATCTGAAGAGGTTTTTTTGTGCGATGTCTCGTTAAGATTGCCAGATGCATAGATAACTAGCACTTAGCTACTGTTGTAGCAAGTTCTTGGGTCTGCTGTTTGCTTTAATGCTAATATTTACACAGTTATTTAAACATGTTAAAACTTTGCTTTTGTTCTTAAAACTGTTTCAATACTTTCTTTGCCAAACCAGTTCCGTGCTGCAAAGTGTAATCTTTAGGCTTGGGCATGGATGCATTTAACAGCTTCTTTTCTCCGAGTGGACTTTGTTCAAATTAACGCAGTTTAAAATTGTGTGTCAGCTATGGGAAACGAGTGGTTTGTTAGGCTGAGAAGCGCTAAGCGGTTTGCTTACTTCTGGTTGCCTGTGTTTAGGTAAAACATTTATTGCATAGAAGATAAGTCGAAAATTTATCAGCTGAGGTACTTAAGAGCAACGTTAGTCAGGGCCTGCAGTGCTGCTGATACTAAGTGCTGAAATTGCACTCTCGGTGGAATTCTCATCACTCGGAAGGATGATCTTGTGTTTTTGCTGTTCGTGGTGGTTGTGGTTTTTAAATACACGTATACTAACAGGCTGCCTTTCTCCCATCCGTCGCTGAAGTGAGTCTGCATGCCGATTCTACACTCAGCAGATGAAGGGGAAACAGCTAGCAATTAAGAAAATGAACGAAATCCAGAAAAATATTGATGGTTGGGAGGGTAAGGACATTGGACAATGCTGTAACGAGTTCATCATGGAAGGAACGCTCACACGTGTAGGAGCTAAGCACGAGAGACACATATTTCTCTTTGATGGCTTGATGATTTGCTGCAAGTCAAATCATGGCCAACCAAGACTTCCTGGTGCTAGCAACGCAGAATATCGTCTCAAAGAGAAGTTCTTCATGCGAAAGGTACAAATCAACGATAAAGATGACACTAATGAGTACAGACATGCTTTCGAAATCATCTTAAAAGATGAGAACAGTGTTATTTTTGCTGCTAAATCAGCTGAAGAGAAAAACAACTGGATGGCAGCATTGATATCTTTGCAATACAGAAGCACGCTGGAAAGGATGTTGGATGTAACGATGTTGCAGGAGGAAAAAGAGGAGCAGATGAGATTTCCAAATCCTGAGCTTTATAGATTTGCAGAACCCGACTCGGAAGAGAATATTGTGTTTGAAGAAAACATGCAGCCCAAATCTGGAATCCCCATCATCAAGGCAGGAACTGTTGTCAAGCTCATCGAGAGGCTGACGTACCACATGTATGCAGGTGAGACACTCCATTTCTATAGCCACAACTCCAGGTGGTGACCAGTTTGTGCTTCTCACGCCGTGTTAAATACATGCAGCAAAATACAAAGTGTGTAGGAAGCGAATATGCTTTGCAGTGCACATATGTGTTTTGAGATGGAAATACGCGCCTTGGTAGCTGCAGCAGTTAAAAGTATGAATCCCAGTGGGCTGAAGGTGATGGGGCATGCTTGTGCGTGAGGTTATTCTCCTGCAAGGGATGGGGGGGAGGGGGAGCTGCAGGAATTGAGCTCTAGACAATACTTTTTCCTGTATGCCCCAGGCTACAAGAATCGCCTTCCCTCCGGACTTCCCAAGTTGGGTGGCACGTGAAGCGTCATTGTTGTGGGAGAGGATTATGGGCCCGGTGTTTTCAGTTAGGGGTTGTACTCTGTCAACTATTACCTGTGTCCACGCTGGTGTGTAGTGAAGAGATCAAATACCAGCTTGCCAGAAGCAGTCACTTGCGTAATTTGGCCTCGGAACTTTGCCTTAATCAGAATTTCAGTGGGGATTTGATTTAAGAGCTTTTGACTTCAGGTTTCTGTTTGTGTTGAAGATACATCGAAGGCGTTTACGTGACCATCCGGTCCTGCCTCGGTGCATGGAGTTTTCCCTGATGATTTCCCAGGATTTTCATAAGCTGTGCTGAAAACCATGGGCTTGGGGTTGGGGTTTGGATTTTTTTTGTTATTTTTTGGATCCTACCTGTGTGCCAGTTATTCTAAAACTTCATGCATCTTGGTATTAGTGCTTCTCATGTTCAACTGTAGATTCTTGTAGTTTTTTTCTTTCTTTTCACTCTTTATACTCTGATTATCCTGAATTGTTCTTCCTCAGCTCAGTTCAGGATACCCAGGATTATTTGTTTGGAAGAAGTGTGGAGTAAGCAGAATGTAATTAGTGTAGTTTAGTACTTTTATTTATTTATAAAATGCTTGTAAATGCATCTGTTTACTCCACTGCTTTTATTGCTCTTCTCCACATTTTCTTCAGCTGAGCTTTCCTAATGCTTATTACAAACCCAAACACAGTATCGTGCTAGCAGTTTTCACCAGAGCGGTTTTGTGCCTGTCTTCATTTTGTTGCAACTTTCTAAACGTTCAGCTCTTGGCTTTGAATTTCTGACAGGCATGATTTCTGACATAATTTTATGGTTTTGGAAGTCAAAATAAAAGAATTCAGCTTTTTTTTTTCTTTTTTTTTCCTTTTTCTTGAAAGCTAGCATTGTATCTGGCAGAGAGTTAGCAAAACCGGTACTTCGGTAGTGCCCTTGTGCACATTTGCTTTGCTTTGGCTAAGGCGTGCACCGTTGAGAATTGCCCATTCCGTAGGTGCCGGGGCTTGGGTGCCATAGCCTTGGCGTTGCTCCGGGTGCTACCAGTGCTCCCCACGTGTCGCCTCAGTCCGGAGAGCTGCAAACTATGTCCTTCAGTTCCAGAAAACAGAAAAAGGCCTATTTTTAAGGAACATGTAGCTTGTTGAAATATGTCTCTTGTCTTGGTTGGGTTTTTTTTAGAATCTCCATGTCTTTTGGGCCTTTCTAGCGCGTAGGACATCAAGGAGGAATCCAGATTGATTGATTAGATCCACCTTCATCCACAGTCATTTAAATCCCTCTTTGTAACAGCCCCTATTTAATAAAGCTTTAAGCAGATTGCTTGAAGCCTAAAACCGTAGGTATCTGTGACATTGATCAAACTATTGTATGACAAAACTGAGAACGTGGGTACTACGAGGTGGGCTGAAAGACTTTGACCAAAAGAATAAAAAAGGTTGTCTTGTGGTGTATTTAGCCTGTCTGCGTAGCCTTAAAGATCTTAGTGCAACATACATGGACCTGGTGCTGAATCACTAGGTTGCACGTCATTTCTCGACATCCTTATCTTTCCTTCTATACCTTCTGTTTTATAATTGGTTTTCTACGAGGGGAAAGCGTTGTCGTTCTAACCGTTCTGTGCTGTCTTTTCCAGGGGAACAAAGAAGTAGAGATATGGTGACTCAGCCAAAAACACTCTGTTGTACAGGAAACAAGGTCCATTGACTATGTAAATCATTCAGTGGTTTGTTGCGTTTTATGAGATGCAGTGAGTAGGGCAACAGCTTTCCATAGTAACCCTTTAGCTCTTCTTTCGTACAGGGATCGGCTGAGTTCCGAGGCTTCTGTTTTGCCTGGAGACCTGGGAAGATGAGTACTCCGGTGCCAAACAGCTACAGCCTGTAGAAATGCTTTTCTCGCCCCATGTAGGATTGCGCACGCGTGATTGGATCTTAAAAGAATGTCTTGACTTTATATTCATATGCCAGAATAGCAAGCCCTTACTTTTCTGAGGCGACTTCTCTCAAATACGGTGTGACTGACTGTGGCAGCCCTTGACCCGACAGTCAAAAGACAGTATTTACCGTAGCGGTGACCCTTCTCCAGGTTTTCATCCTTGTAGGTCACGTACTGTAAGGAGTAGGTACAGCGATAATTGCAGAGGGGGTACCAGTTTGTTGCAAGCAGTTTAATTAGCTGCGTATTGAGGAGTTTATGGGCTGCGTTCAGACAGTAGTCAGATCAGGTCTCAACTTTTTTGTCGCCTGTGAAGATCCACACAGTCCATCTCATTTGTAGATAGGGATATTGGACCTTTTCTTTTTCTCCCCTCACCTCCCTGCCAATGCACAAACCATCTTATCAGCTGAAATATTTCTCTGTTTGGCTGTGGAACAGCAGTGCAGGAGGTGTCCGGGACATGCAGACAGCCCTGATGGCCACCGGGCCACAAGGTGCGGCAGACTGGCCAAACCAGCCTGCAGCGGAGCAGCAAAACAGGGAGATATCTCCTCTACAAAAGCAGCTTTCCATATATTTTTACATGAGACAAACTGCCTTTCAGTTACAAATTCAGGTTCTGACCCTGGTGGAGTTTACTTGTTTTCGTGTGTTTCCGCATTCATTATCTCCTCCTTTGCTTGGTTCTTACTGAAGAGCAGCTGGGTTAGGTGGCACCAAGATTTGAAAGTTGTGGCAATTTTTTTTTTTATCTATGGGGCAGTGCTCTTCTATTTTTAAAGCTTTGATATGTTAAGAGCGCTTGTGCGTCATCGTAGTGTCCGTTTCCTTTCTTAAAGAATTCAAGAGTGATTATTTATAAATCCTTGTAGAACAAGTTATTGTTCTTTTTTAGCTTTCAAATTGGCTGTATTGAAGAGAGAATTATCACATGAGCAGACATCCTGACTAACTAGTGTTGTCTGTATTTTTTTTAACGCTTGCTCGTATATTGTACACCATTTTGAGTTCCAGATTTTGCTAGTGAGATAACAAGGTTAGGTTGGATTTTCTGATCTGCTTCATTTGAAATACAATACATATTTTGGATTTAAACACTGACCCTACCTGGAAATAACAGTATCTCTGAGTCGGAGCTTGCAGTGATCTGAAAATGTCAATTGCTGTGGAGGTTTTCTTTTTCACATAGACAAACCTTGTTAGGGTGAATGGTGTGTACAGAATGCAGGCTGTGAAAACATGAGTTACTGTGATTACTTTTGTACTTGTTTTTTGGGGCAACAAAAATTGTGCGTTTTAATGATGAGGGACACGGATGACATCCTTCGTGCAAAAGGATTTGGGGTTTTGCCTTTGAAAAGGATTTTAGACTGTACGGTTTCAAGGAGAGGTGGGAGAGGCATTGCGATAAAAAAAGTGGAGCGATGGAGGACATAGAGTTGGTAAAGCAGAGCAGCCAATTGCGTAAAAAATGGGAATGAGCGTGCAAGGGAATGCCGTGATACATAATGCACAGCTAATCTGTGCAGCACGTTGCGGATAATTGTTGCCCAAATGAAGAGCCAAGGAGGATGTAAGAAAGGTAGAATGTTCATTCGAATGGACAAGATGCTGGTAAATAGTTTTTTTTTTAAAAAAAAAAGCTCCTAAAAACCCATTTTCCAGGAAACAAGCCTAGTGGCTTAATAGAGTGTTAGGTCAAATAATGCGGGGTTTTGGTTTTTTTTTTTCTTCATTGCAGCTTATAGGAACTCCTGCTTTAAGTCCTGTGTTGCTCCTCTTTAGCCACTCTGTGTTAGAAAAATTCCCGGTTGGGGTTTGGTTTTAAAATCTGTATACAGATTTAATATGCAAAGCTGTTGCAACCCACTCATTAATTTTGTTCAGTGATAACGATGTTAACCTTGTCTGCAGTCAGCTCGGCGCAGTGCCAGCGTGCTGTCACCGCATTTCCTCGTACTTGAAAACAAATGGGTTTGCTTTTGTAATTAAGGGAGACGCTTTGCTTTTTGGTTCTGAATACATGCTTTTTTTTAAAAATTTATTTGAATATTTTAAATTAACTGATACGTAATTAGTCAGTTTAAAGGAAATCTGTTGATTTTCTTGAAGTGAAATAAATATAACCTCAAAGTATAGCTGTCAGTTGAAAAAAAAACCCAAACCAGTAGTGGTTAAGTCAGGCTAGATTATCAGTTGTACCAGTTCAGGGGAAACATTCCCCCCTTGAAGAGGCCATTTCTATCCAATGCAAAGTTACTTGCTGTGTCTTTTGAGTTACCTTGTCCTGATCATTGTCAAAACCAAAGTTGTTTACTAGAGGGTTCATAAATAAAATCCTCTATTTATTATTTTCAAAGTCGTTTGAAAGGCATCCAGTCTTTTAATAATTGAAGAAAAAGTAATTGTTTTGAATTTTCCACAGAACAATAAAAATTGCTTTTAAATTCTTTGTATTGCTATTTTAAGAGGTTGATTGTTATCAAAAGCAATTTGAGCTTACATCATCTTCTCTGTAATTGATAGCCCGGCATCCTTCATTTTAAAGGATACGTAAAGTTTTTTTAAAGTATAAAAAAATTGATGTTATCGCTGACGTGAGCATAAAATTATTCTTTGTCTTAGATCCCAACTTTGTTCGGACTTTTCTCACAACATATAGATCCTTCTGTAAACCTCAAGAGTTGCTGAGTCTCCTAATAGAAAGGTATGCTACTGTTAAAAGTACTGTTCACACAAAGTGCAAATTTATTATTTTACTTGGAGCAGAGTTTGTAAGATTCTTGTTTTCCAGTTCGTTTTGATTCAATCCAAACACTGTTTAAAAAATTGTCCAATTCAAGGATTGCAAGTGAAACATGGAAGTTCTATCCGGAAGCTTTAGGATTGTTCAGGTAGCTCCAGTAATTTCCAGCATCCCATGGCTTTGTCTTTGAAATCTGTGTTATTATTGAACTTAGCAAATCTTCTTATGTGCTTACCAAGAGGTAAGATTCTGACATGTGGAAATACTCTGAATTTCGAGCTCTCTTTAATCAACGTTTTATTTGCGTGCGCTGTGAGCAAGACGAGTATAATTGCGCTTATACCCATTTCTGTGCTAGATTTGAAATTCCGGAGCCTGAGCCAACGGAAGCTGATCGTATTGCTATGGAGAACGGAGACCAGCCTCTTAGTGCAGAATTAAAAAGATTTAGGAAAGAGTACATTCAGCCTGTGCAGCTACGGTGAGTACTGCATCGAGGTGAGCCGAACTGACTTCCTGGAAGCCTTTTGAAGTCCCGTCTTTTGGATGCGATGGCTCTTTGTGACACCAGCAGCCTTTCTCGTAGATGTTTGGGTCGAGAGTGGCCATGGGCAGTCGGCCGTTTTGTCCTTGCTACTTGAAAAACCCGGTGGGAATTTGAATTCATGGCATGAAAAGCCTTGGGGAAGGGATTGTGCTGAGGTTTAGACTCTTTAGTGTGCAAATTAGTTTCTTGCACTCACTGTTGTGTTGGTTTTTTTCAATCCATGTTTCTGCAAGGCTATACAGCGTAAGTGTGCCACAAAGATGTAGGCAGAGAACATTTTAGATAATGTTCTTTTTATGAACAATAGCATTACTCTGACCTCTTTAGATTTAAAATGGAAAAATGCTTATGGCTGGTTGCTGGTGGAAGGCCAACCGTAGAGTAATTGCATCTGGTCTGCTGATTCTGATACTCCTGTGCTCCTTCACTCCTGTGAAGATAGGCTGTATTGTAGAGTGTTTACTTACCCTTTACTTTTGCAGAGTATTAAATGTGTGTCGACACTGGGTAGAACACCACTTCTATGACTTTGAAAGAGATGCTGATCTTCTGCAACGTTTGGAGGAATTCATTGGAACAGTAAGAGGTACTTATGGTTTCTTAAGTTGTTATCGCAAAGCATCCCTTTTCAAAGGTATGGAATGGGATCACTTTTCCTTTCACTGAGCAGATTAAGAAAACCAGGAGTGACTGCTTATTAAATACTTCACCAAGAATATAAAATAAACCTTAATTTAAAAGCAAAACCGCACTAAGAAAAACTTATTCAAAGTCTGCCCTCTGTTCAGAAGAATGAATGTTATTTACATCCTGATAACTTTGTTATAAAGGCACTGAAATAACTCAAAATAATAACTGAGTAATGATCAGGACAGAATAATTGTTTTGATTGTCCTCTTAAACTCTGTGCAGGGGTAATTTTTTGTAAAAGTTGGATGGTGGAAACCACTATTTCTTTGAAGCAAGGGTTTTCCAGCTATTTCACAGTGCGTATTGGAAGTATTCAATGGTTAATTAGCAATTAAAAAGAGGGGGAGAATGAGCCAGCTAGTTTAATGTGAATTATTAGTAAATTTTCATCTCATGTGTGAAATTCTTATGGCGTAGAGCTAAACAGGCATTTGGCTTTTGGGTTTTATTCTGAGCTTTGACACTAAATGCAGTAGAGGGAAAAGCTTCTCCCTGTTTGTTATTTTGCCCTTCTGCGTTATCCGAGGTGAGCACATACTCTTGCTCGAAGATTAAAGTTCAGGGTGTTTACAGAAGTGCATTGTGGGCAAAAGAAGGTTAGTTCCCATAAACTCATTGTAAAGCCAGAAAAGAAAGGAAAACACCTGAGCTGGAGCAGGAGCCTCATGCGGGTGTTCCGAATTGTGTGTGGGCAAACCTGGCACGCTCAGCGCTGCCTGCTGAGGAATTCTTCTCTGTGTGTTTGAGTGCTTTGAGACTTGTGTGAGAACACTACTTACGCGCTTCCAAAGAATATATGGTTGCTTTAATTTAGTACGATTCGGGTTCAAGTCCAAAGATTTTTAAATTGTACTGATCTCTTGGAAAAACAGTATTAACTAAAGAGTCATTTTCTCTCTGCGTGCCAGGCAAAGCGATGAAGAAATGGGTTGAATCAATCACAAAGATAATCAACCGGAAAAAGCAGGCGCAAGCCATTGGGCCGAGTCACAACATTACTTTTGAGAGCCCACCTCCTGCGATTGAATGGCACATAAGCAAACCGGGACACACAGAGACTTTTGACTTGCTCACTTTGCATCCAATAGAAATTGCTCGGCAGCTCACTTTACTTGAGTCAGATTTTTACAGGTAACTTTCCTCCATTGAAAAACACATGACACAAACCAAAATATTCTCCAGCATGAAATTGTTTCTGCGGGCCCCTGCTGTGAAGCCCCACGGTAGGTCAAGGGACTTTACCGATGCTGTATATTAATTGCTATTTTTTCAGAAAAAAAAAAAATATCCGAAAACCAGTATTTGTCTTATCCTCTCCAAGTTCACGTGCAGTACATGTGACTGGTGCATACTGTTAATTGCATTGTGCTGCAGGTTTCTCTTGATATTTTCTGAGTAGAACGACCTTTGAGAAGTATGAACATAATTAAATCGGTTTTCTTCATATCCTAGTTTGGGAAGCAAATTATGGACTGTGTCAGATCTCACCAGCTGTCTGTGAGAGGTTGTTCAGGCGTTGGAAGCTCACGTTTTATTGTGGTGAATGAGATGTAGACTTCATTCTTCGTTTAGATGAACAGAGGTGGTTAATAATCACATAAATTAAGAAATCTTTACACACTAAAAAAGAAGTGTAGAACTAGCAGCCACTTAGTCGCGTGAGGAGCCTGACATTATATAAGAGCAGCAATACCTTAAGAATTTATTTCCAAATATTAATTGTAAATTCACTGGAAATAAAGAGGTTTGGGGAAAATAATACCTTCCTTCCTGCTTTTGATTACATTTTTTGACATATGCATCTACTTTTCTAGGGCTGTGCAGCCATCTGAACTAGTTGGAAGCGTGTGGACAAAGGAAGATAAAGAAATTAATTCTCCCAACCTTCTCAAAATGATAAGGCATACAACTAACCTCACTTTGTGGTTTGAAAAGTAAGTGGCTCTCCTGAATCTCTACCTACTCCATTTCTGGACGTACACAGTCCGTTGGGAAGTATACTGTGAAAAATTCTATTCCGGGAGAATTCCAGTTTTAAGTCGTGTTTCGATGGTCCAAGTGGTCCCTGCGAGAATTTTACCATAATGGTGTCAGCTTCTTATTCTTAGAATATTTTCAAATGTTTATTCTCTGAACATTTTCAAAAATGTGTCAAGTAATGTGCTAAACTGTTCATATTTGTTTGAGTTACGACTTAATATATGAGTTTGGAAAACTAATCAATGCTTTAATACAAAATCAAATGTTCTTGTGTATTTAGATGCATTGTAGAAACAGAAAACCTAGAGGAAAGAGTAATTGTAGTCAGCCGGATAATTGAGATCCTGCAAGTTTTCCAAGAGCTAAACAACTTTAATGGTGTCCTTGAGATTGTCAGTGCTATGAACTCCGCAGCAGTGTATAGGTTGGATCACACATTTGAGGTACAGTGAAATGTTTTCCGTTCTCTGTGTGGAAGTGTAAGACGGTGCGCCTTAGCTACACTAAACGCCTGTCTTTTCAGTAAGCGTGTCCTTCAAAGGAGGAGCGAGGAAGGTAAATCCCCCAACAAACCAATCAATCGGGGTGTAATAGAGCGGCGGGTTTTTCTTGGTTTCAGAAGCAAGAAATCAATCCTCACTTCAGCAATGCAGAAAAAGCTGGCGAGATCCTGAGGTGGCGGGACACTGTCCTCATGGTCACTGACTTAAATATCAGTGGGAGACCATTACTGTCAGTATTGTTGCTGGGCTACACCTTTACCCTGTCTTTCCAAACGACATCTTCCATCTCTCTCTCTTTAGCAAATTCCAAGTCGCCAGAAGAAGATTTTAGAAGAAGCTTATGAGCTGAGTGAGGATCATTATAAGAAATACTTGGCAAAACTCAGGTCCATTAATCCTCCTTGTGTGCCTTTTTTTGGTAAGTACGTTTTGTTTGAATGAGCTGTATCACGCATAAACATTTGGAAAGTGTTCAGCTACGGCACGAAACAGAGTACGAACAATAGTGAGAAGTCAGTTTTAACAGGACAGTTGGGTTTGAAGTTCAGGTGCCCAGACATTAATTGCATATGTGTGAAAGAAAAATTAAAGTGACGACTAATTGCAGATGTTATTTGAGGTAAAAATAAACATATTTACTCATTTTTACTTTGAATGTGGTTTGAACGGTGTTGTGACCATAAATGCCTTAAAGGGAAGGCGATCACATTAAAAATAATTATTGCCATTGGCTAGTCGCGAAAAAAGGACCCCCTTCCCCATCAAGAATCTCAAGAAATAAAGCTAAGAGTTTTAATTTTTATAGTTTGTTCTAACTAGAGTCTTGTTTCTATTAAAAAGTCTGACTTCTATAAAAACAGTTTGGGAAGGAAGCCTCTTCTTTATCATCCGACGTAACAGTTCTTCTTTCGAGTAGATTGCTTGGAATTGCTGACGTTTAGCAAATTATGAAGTTAAGCACATGGCATTTCTGTTCTTTAGCAAGCTGCTTGGATGTTTGCTGCAGATTAGCTCCAACTCTGGCCGTTGCACTTGTCCAGCATAGGCTTCCGGCGGAAACTGAAAGAAAATAGTGTTGATGGCTTTTTTTGGCCTTTGAGAGATTGGGGAAAGATATACTCCAGAGCTCTGCAAAGAAAGATAAGATCAACTGAGAAACCTGCTGTCCTGCTTCAGAGATGAGTAGAGGTTAGCAGGATCACACCCGTGAATAGCTGCGGTTATTTCTCTCAAGTTATACTTAGAAGAGTCATAACGACAGTTCCAGATATATTATCTGAGGACTTGAGAGCGCTCTTTTCTTTCTAATCTTCCAATGATTTGACGCAACTACGAAGCCAGGAGCAGAGAGTAGCGCAGAGGAATAAAACCTGCAAATAAAATTTTTGGAGCTTAGCTGGGGTCTCTAATGGAGTACAGCTGAATTGAGGCAGAACAGTTGAGGGAAAGCACTTTAGTTCAGTGTACTCCTGTCTTGCGAAATGCTAGCAGCGTTCAGATGTGTGAGCTTCCTAAACAACGGAAAGATGCGTAGACTCTGAGATTTTGCAATTTTGGATTTCTGGAAAAGGTATATTAAAATATTGAAATTGTTGCCCTTACTTGAAAATTAGGTGCGATTCTCTTATTGACCCTAACAGAGAATTTTTCTAAATAATTAAGAGTGCACAAATTAAATTATTTGAGAATTCTTTGTATTCTGGTCTTGTGACTTCCTCCTTGTTTCGTGCTATATGTTGAGAACCTCTTCTGTGTGCTCTTCAGGGATTTACTTAACTAACATCTTGAAAACAGAAGAAGGCAACCCTGAATTTCTAAAGCGACATGGGAAAGAACTTATAAACTTCAGCAAGAGAAGAAAGGTAGCTGAGATAACAGGAGAGATACAGCAGTACCAGAACCAGCCGTATTGTTTGAGAGTAGAATTTGACATCAGGGTAAGTGGCATTATTTCCTTGAGTCCATTCACTTGAGCGACTTCTGTGGTGACTCTTGACAGCTGATAGACCATGAGGACAGGCTGAATTCGCACAGGTTCCATCAGACTGAATCAGAGACAAACAGAAGGCATTGTCGTAAAATATCTCTCTGGTCTCGTTGTAAGAAAGGGCAGAAAGCTCAGTGCTTGCAGGTTGGTGGGTTTGGGTCCCGTCCCCCGCAGCTATTGGGGTGTTGATAGATCTGTTACACTGCCTTTATGGTTCCAGGTTTACCTGGTAGCACTGTGTTTACATCATGTGTTGGTGGTGATGATACTTGCATTTTTCTTTCTCCTGGTGTTTATTCTTCTTGGTCTGGCATGTTCTCTAAGCAGTCCTCTCTCTGTTTGCTTTCCTTTCTTCCTTTTCGTATCTTTTAAGCTATATACTTTCAGAGAGTCATAGGACAGACTATCTTAAGAGGTTCTGCAAGACTTTCTTTCATCATTTGTTCTCCTCAGGGTTTGACAGAACACGTTCTGAGAGCGTTTTCCCTGTGTCAGTGTAAAAATGGACTACATACAGCTTCTTCTGAAGGTGTTTGTGCTAAACTGCTCTGATTTTTGCGCTGCAGAAAGTCTTTCGGGTACTTGCATGGTTGGTTTTCAGGCGAAACATAGCAGTAGCAATGCCCAGCAGAGGGCTGGTAACAAACAGATTTAATAAATTAAAAATCTGTCATTACTTCTGACTCCAGTATTTTCTCTCTTCTCTGGAACAGTTGGGATCATATTTGCAGTAGAATCGAACAAGTTGTTCAACAATTAGTTGACAAGTTTCCTACCTTCTTGTATTTCAGAGGTTTTTTGAAAACCTGAATCCAATGGGAAACAGCATGGAGACCGAATTTACAGATTATCTGTTCAACAAGTCACTAGAGATAGAGCCACGAAATGTCAAGCCTCCACCAAGATTTGTTAGTATTAAAAATATATATATATATATTTATTTTTTTCTTTTTTTTTTTTCCAAAAAATGCTTCCATTTGTCTTTCACAGATAGCAGCAGTCAATTTAGATCTCTAATTTCATAAATACAAAACTACGTTTAGGTGATCTTGTGGCCTTTTGATTTTGTTTTATATTCTCTTTTTTGTCATTTCAGCCCAAAAAGTACAGCTACCCTCTCAAGTCCCCAGGTGTTCGTCCCTCTAATCCGAGGCCGGGTACCATGAGACACCCTACGCCGCTGCAACAGGAGCCAAGGAAAATTAGCTACAGCCGCATCCCAGAGAGCGAGACTGAAACTACAGCGTCCGCACCAAACTCTCCCCGCACACCTTTGACCCCTCCTCCTGCTTCTGCTACTTCAAGTAACACAGATGCCTGCAGTGTGTTTGACTCGGATCCTTCAAGTCCATTTCATGCGAGTAGGTGCTAATAGAATGTGGGTATTAGATTTTGTGGTGTTAAACAGGTTGTTAAACAGTTAAACAGAAGACTCAACTCATGTTGAGTCTTCTAAAGTGACTATAGAAATAGTTGGTTTTGTCCGCTTGCGGCAGCAGAAGCCTTCAGTGTGTTTTATTCCTTTTTTTAATTGCAAAGGGAGAGACTGAACAGAATTAGCTGTGTTCCAAAGAGATTATGACATGTCTTTGCGGAAAATGTCAAAACGGAAGGCAGAGATATATCTCTAGTGCCCATATATGTCCCAAACAAACATTTGTGGGATTTGCTGCCATATATGTATGTGTGGTGCATGTACTTGGTGAGTATCTGTTTGATGGTGAGCAGTGAGAATTAACAGTGAGTGTTTTGTGAGTGCCTTATCCTGCTGTCTGCCATTCCGAATTGATTTCAACACACCTGGATGGTTCTCTCGCAGAACTTAAAATCAGTATTTCCCTGCTTTAAATCTATCAGGACCCGTCCACAACTTTTTTTCTTCCGTCTTCACCAACAGACAAGGAAGCTCATATTTTATGGTGTGCGTTCAGTAATTGGTAGGGGATGTAGCCTCCTTTGGTGTATGAGGGCTTTCAAAGAAAGTACAAGGTTAGTCCTGTGTTCAGCTGGTTGCCACAAGGAGGTGAAATGACTTCCTAAAAGCAGAAGTTGCTTAGCAGAGCAGTGACTTTGCTGAGCGTCCAAGCCAGGTCTCCGGAATACCTCTTCAGAAGATGATGTTTCTTCATTGCTGCGTTGGCCCATTGACTGCAGGTTTGGGATATTGTTTTAGTGCTGTTGCGATACAAGAACAACTTTGTAGTGTGGCTTTGGTCTCAAAGATTACTTAAGAATGTGCACAATTTTTAGTGCTGTTGCGATATAAGAACAACTTTGTAGTGTGGCTCAAAGATTACTTAAGAATGTGCACAAACTGATGACCACAGAGATGATCGCAGCTCAGAAAAGCAGTTTGACTGGAAGCTGCAAGTTAGAGGGTTGTTTCGTTGTCTTTCTTTAACACCGTCTTGATTCGTGCTGCTTTTTATGAGCAATTACTTTATTTTTTATGGCACCTTTATTGGCAGCAATAAAGGAAATATACTGAGCCAAACAAAAGTTCATCATTATCAGGATTCTTTTTTTATGTCTGCTAGGATCTGCTTCTGTGTCATCCATAAACTTCACCAAAAATTCAGATGAAGCTCATGTCCCCCCTCCAGTTCCTCCACGAAGACGACCAGAGTCTGCCCCAGCTGAATCCTCCCCATCAAAAGTAAGTAAGGCGAGAAAAAAGGGCATTTTTTTCTGGGAGCAGAGGGCAGGGTATGATAGAAAAGTAACTCTTAAAGGTAGTACATGTATTTTTGAAGACCCGTATGTGAAAGAGTAAGCAGTCATGTAGTTCAGGCCTTCACATCTCTGCGTCTTTATGTCCCGATCCCAAACGAGTGAAAATTAACAGGGGTCCTAAACTTAGGGTTAGAAATGTCTCTTGTCTACCGAGCCGCAATGCTCCGGCCCTCACATTGCCTGTGAGAACTTGCGGCTTCGGGCAGATGTTTCCATCCGTGATAATGGTCCCCGAGTATCATTTTGGAGGGTATGAGTAAGGGGGTAAAGGACTGAAGAACAGCGTTGATGGAAAGTGATGTACACACCTCAGTCCTCTGATGAGGTTCATTAGAATATTTGACCCTGATGCTGTGGTGCTCGGTGCTTTCATTCCCTTCTTGGCTGCCTGTCCTGCCTCCTGCCTGCTTGAGCCATTGCTACATTTTCCTTTTGCGTTGGGGATCTGATCCAGCCTTCATTGCAGACAGCGTCAAATGTCTCTTGATGGCAGTGGTAGCTGGTTTGTGACTTCAGAGAAGTGGGTGGATTTGAAAATCCCACTCAAAAGTACTTTAGAGCATGTATGTCTTTGAAGAGGGCTCGTATATGGCTCCTCAGCGAGTTGTTGTTTTCAGACTACGGGTGACTGTGCTGTCAGCCAGCAGAGTCTAACACATCACGTTCCTACCACAGTGTAATTGAAAACATCGTCTATGTGGTAGGGTGTTGGAGTGGTGTCGCTGTGGTCTGCAGCTTGGGAACTGTTCACTTCAATCATTCTGACTACTTAATTCCGTCTTCCGAGCGGAATTTATTTTTTTGGCTGTTCAGCATCATTTGCCTCTCCCTTTTCCTCATTTTCTTGGAGAAATATCTGGTGTTATTACCCACCCCAGCAAGCAGACCTGGAACTAGCACAGAAATTGTTGCTTTGGCCATTCTTTGTCCCTCTCTGTGTATCTTCACTCCTTCCATCCTTGGCTGTTAACTCATGTATTGATCCACCCCCGCTCTCCCCCTGCACACCCAGTCTCTGTCTTTTCTGTCTGCATCGCTCTGAGAAACATGTTTTTCCGGCACCGCCACTGCCTTTTGCTTCCTCACTCCCCATCTTCATGCTGCCCCTGCTTGCGGTGCCTCCTTTTTACCTGTGTAAGTGCAATCTGCAGGGCAGGAGCTCTGCTTCCATTTCACAGCAGGGTCCTGTTCTTTGCTACCCCTCTAAAATGTTATTGAATGAAATGTTTGTGTACCTCAGATTACTTCTGCGCACTTGGACAGCCCACCAGCAATCCCTCCTAGGCAACCAACCTCTAAAGTGTATTCGCCAAGGTACTCGGTGCCTGACCGGACCTGCATCTCTGACCCCCCTGAAAGCCCTCCTGTGTTACCACCACGAGAACCTGTGCGAACTCCAGATGTTTTCTCTAGCTCACCACTACACCTCCAACCTCCACCACTGGGGAGAAAAAGCGAACTTGGTAACACCTTTTTCCCAAACAGCCCGTCTCCATTTACTCCCCCTCCCCCTCAGACACCTTCTCCACATGTAGCACGGAGGCATCTTCCATCACCACCTTTGATACCGCAAGATGTGGACCTCCACTCTGTTGCTGGACCACCTGTTCCTCCACGACAAAGCACTTCTCAACATATCCCAAAGCTTCCGCCAAAAACTTACAAAAGGGAGCACACACACCCATCGATGCATCGAGACGGACCACCGTTGCTGGAGAATGCCCATTCCTCCTGAACTATCCCTTGCGCTGGGAGTCGCATTTTCCTGGTGCTACGTCTGTTGCTGGCAATGGATGCATGGAAACTGGTGGTGCCAAGGGGTTGGGATGTGTATGCCAAACACTAAAAACTCTCCGATAGATTGGAAATGCAGTGTACAGAAACGGAATTGCAAAAACAGACATTCTAGTGGAAAAACTGGTTAACTTGCTATTCTTGTTTTAGTATGCAGGATATGGTTCTAAAGTAATTGGACAACTGATTGTACCCGAAAACAGACTTGAGGGACTTCTTTGGCCGATGAGCAGAGACTGTGTTTGTGTAATGATCAATAATGTCCAGTACAGGAGGGAAAACAGTCTTGTATCCATCAGTTCCACACAATGGCACAGTTTTTGGAATGAAAACATTATGCACTTTTTTAAAATCTCGAACAGGGAACTTTATATCCTTCTTAATTTTCCTTTGCTTTACTCCCTGCTTTAAAATACCTTCCTAAAATTAGGAGAAGGACTGTGAGGAAGATCTGTGGTACCTAACCAAGCTAAGAATTAAGGCAAAGCACTGTATTGCGGTCCTGTTTACAAGTTGTTACAATGAGTAGTAGGGGGTACCTAGGCTTCACCAAAGAGGTACTTTATTATTATTTTCTGAAATATTATGGTGCCAGTTCAAAAATAAATTTTTGCCAGGAAGCATAATGTCTAATTATTGCTTTCTTTAGATAGAGCAGATGGAAGTCTTACATCATTAAGATGACAGAGATTTTTTTTTTTATTTTTTTTTTTAAAGCAGCACTATCATCGGAAGTAAATATACTACTACATTTAGAAGACTGTTAATCTCTGCTAGGTTATGTCACATTCTTCTTAAGGTTTACTGATAATCCATTTCATGGCTCGTAGCTATTCTTTTTCAGTCAAGCCATGAAAACAGTCACTTGTGAAAAGGAGCACTCACCGGTCAACTTCCATAGCTATCGTCATGTTTTACTAACAATAGATTAATCAGCATACATAGAATTGCCTTGCAGTTGCATCAATCATGTGTATATAGTGAACGTTGCATAAATATACTTGCAGATTGTTTTTAATTTAATTGAAATAAAGATACAGATATGTTTGGCTGACATACGTTAAATTATTACGCAGACAAATATACAACTCAGTGTTTCCGTTAAGCACCGAAGGGGATAAAAGCACATGTTGTGGTACATATTTTTGCTAGTTCAGTGTATGTGTTTTAGTAATAAGAGTCTAAAGACTTCAGTCAAAAGAGGCTAAAGTCGGTTTTGGCATGCGTTACAAAGTAATAATTTAGTAATATTGGAGAAGCTGGGTTACTCCCAAGGTGCATTATTATACGTTACAAAATTTCTCACACCTGCTGTATGACACTTGTTAGAAAAATTCAAACTTATATTAACCTTTGCGGTAGCTTTCTGTGTCCGAAGTACACGTGACAGAACATGTACTGGTATAAGTATCATGACATGGATTATCCATAAACCTGTGTACTGCTCTTCAGCTCTAGATGATACTGTGACAGTACTGCGTGGCGGTTACTGGAGAAAAGAAGCTCTGTAGTCTCCACTGGAGTATGTACGTGGAGTATCTCATCTTCAGTTCATATGGCTCATGAGCCAACATAAATTTATATAATGTTTCCTCTTTGGAAGAATACATTTCAGTGTCTGGGAAAGCTGTGTCATTAGAGCTGGTGTTAGTTGCCTGATGGTGGAAATCCCCTTTTTTAATGCTTTCTGCAGCGCCGTTGGTCAGTGCCCCTTGATCCTTTAGTGTGGTCGTTGTATTTCAGAAAGTGTCCCGGTTTCATCAACAAGAACGACGCTTTTCATCGTAGTCTAATATTGACATTTGTCAGTTGTATTCCTTCTTTGATGTCTTCAACAACCATTTTCCTGGCGAGAGGAAAAAGTGAAGTTCTCTCAACCTTGGCTTCAGAGGAGAACGTTGTATGGGAGCTTTGTAAAAACCCTCAAGCTACAGGAGGCATATTTAGGTTATCGCTTCTTCGGCTATAAACACTGTGATGGGCATACTGTTGGCAGTGTCATCTGAATTATTAGCTCATCAGTGGATTACCAGGGCAAACTCCTTAAATTTAGACTTTCTGATCTTCTTCTGTACACTCTTGTCTGTGCTGTTTTGCAGCCAAGGCAGACCAGGCAGGAGGAATGATCCAGTGTCTAGGTTGCTCAGCTAGGAGAAGACCTCACATGGGTCTTGCTAATCAGCAGATTTCTTGAATGTCGCTAGGTCTCTTGTTTCCCTTCGTGAAATTGGGAAAGATGTTTCGCATCCTTGTGGTTGAGGATAAAAGTCCTTTGCTGGTGAGGTACTTGGACAACAGGTGATAATGGTCACCACACAAGAACCTAACTTAAACGTGCGTTGGAGCCCAGCAGAATGGGTACGTCATGCAGTGCCCAAATCACGGTGTTGACTCAGCTGCAAACAGAAAGGACAGGATGAGAATCAAACCTGTTGCGTTTAGGAGTTTTGGGAGTTACAACTGCTAAGCCCCTGGTTTGTCTAATAACATTCTTATTTATGTTAATTAGTGTGGAATGACTTCTTATTTGGACCACATTTACAGCAGTGACAATACTTTCCACATAGAAAATGAAATCATTTTAATGATGCTATCTGTCTCCTTGGTAAGATGGCCTGGTGTGGCTGGGGCTGATGTGGCTTGGACAATGAAACATGCTTGTTTGGATGGAAGCTAGGTGAGTTGCTCTATTACTCCAGAGTGCCATCTAAAAAAAAAATAATAATCAGCCTAAACAGCTGCAAACTGTGTAAGGAGGGTTATAGAGATCAGCAGAACTCTATAGGTGCAGTACTCGATTTGTGCTGTCTCACCGAACGGTTTCTGCTTTGTATATAGTCTGCCGCAGCAGTGGGGCATCACCTGGGTTTCTTCATTTTATTGCAGAGTATCGTGGTTGTGTGTTAGCTCAGAAAAGCCCACTGGGAATTTGGAAGTGCTAGGATTCCAAGCGCAGCGTCCTGCACCCGGGTCGGGGCAATCCCCGGTACAAGCACAGGCTGGGGGATGAAGGGATGGAGGGCAGCCCTGCCGAGAAGGTCTTGGGGCGTGAAAAGCTGGACAATTAGCCGGCAATGTGCACTAACAGCCCAGAAAGCCACCCGCACCCCGGGCTGCATCCCCAGCAGCGTGGCCAGCAGGGCGAGGGGGGATTGTGCCCCTCTGCTGCGCTCTGCTCTGGGGAGACCCCCCTGCAGTGCTGCCTCCAGCTCGGGGGGTCCCACCAGCAGAAGGAGACGGAGCTGTTGGAGCGGGGCCAGAGGAGGCCAGCGGGTACATGCTCTTCTCATGACATTCAGGAGCCCAGGCAAAGTTTTTCTGTAACTGTCTAATGGAGAACATTGTGCTGCTTCAGGGTCAGTACCATGGAAGCGTTTGAGTGCTCCATCCTCAAGAAGTCATCTCCAGCGTGGGCTAACCTGTTTCTCTAATATGCCCCTCTCTTAAACCAGGGAGGGAGAGGGCTGTCTCGGTAAGAGGATGTTTATGCTAATGCGATGGATTTAGACCCTTCGAGGTTTAGATTGGCATCGTGGAATGTTTGATTATTTTACTTCTGCGTGTATCTTAAATTAGACTTTCTGCTGAACTGGGTCTCATTCAAGCTTGGTGATTTCACTGGAGGTACCGCTGTCGGAAGGCAGTAGATTATTGTGCTTCAGGGAGAAGGTTTTATTGTGTTCCGTACAAGGAAGTTTCTTTTCAGCCTGAAGAGGTGCCGGAACAAATTTGCGTCGCAGCAGGCAGTGCGTTATAATAATAAGCCTCAGTCCCTTCTTTGTGGCTGTTGTCTCAATCTAGCCCGGTGTTTTAGGGGCCGCCTCTACTCCTGGTGTTTCTAGCATTGCGGAAACCTAAGCTCCGCCAGAAAGATCCCTCCTTCATGAATGTTTGTCTCACAAAATATATGAAAGTTAAACAAAATGTTTCTTAATGCTTTGCTGCTGTGAGCAGCGCAATTATCTGCAGTATGTAAAAGTCCCTCCTTGACTTTCTCCCTGGCTGCCTTCTTCCAGCCGGCAAGGAGAGACTTGTTCAGAAAGACTGGTTTAAGATGATATGAAAAAGTTTGCAGATTCTTATGGGTTGTCCCCCCACACATACCTCAAAATACCCTTTTTTAGTTGTTGAATTGTCATTTCAAAACCTAGGTGATGCATGGGCTGAAGCCTTTTTGGCTCTTATTCATTAAGGAGAGAAACCTGTGGCCCTATATAGTCATAAAAACAAAAGCGATTTTAACTTACTTTGTAAATGCCACACCTTATTTTCCATTAAAAAAGAAAAATAAAACCTTAAGTGCATTTTTCTGTCAACTGTGAGCAAATTTCCCTTTTGCCTTCAGTGGAAAATAGTGCGTTAAGTACCCAACTGCTGCAGCATTATAAGGCAAACAGAGAGTAAGTCCCTTTTTTTTTTTTTTTTTTTAACTTTCTAGCCAGCAAATGTGAAGTCCTGTACCGGGTAGCTGAAAAATTGAAAGGGAAAAAATAAAATAAAATAAGAAAACATATGCCAGATGCATGACAATTTTAGTAGCTGCCAAACGTGCCTTTTATCAAAGAACATTAAAAAGAAGGGTAGAGGAATGTATATGATCAGGGGCGCATGTTGCTGGAATTGCTTTGGACAGACTTGTTCAAATCTCCTTTGGAATGAGCCTTTTTTTGTTTGTGAAAAGACGACGTTTTAGGTTGCGGTAAGTTTGTTGCGGTATGTGCGTACATTTGCCTTTGTTTGATGGCACGGTTACTTGCCAAAATGAGTCGATGTTAAAAGCTGTGTCAGTCCAGTTGTAAAAAGAAAAACCAGAGAAAGAGAAGGGGTAGACTTCAGCTGTAACTGTCTGTAGGTGCCGTTTGTACGCTGCGGCTGCAGTGGTGTTCAGAGTGCGTTTAAGTGCAAATTTAATAGTGGCTGTTATCTTCTGGCATTGCAAGGTATGTTCTAAAAATAATAATAATAAAAAAAAAGCGCCTTACGTATCCCAGAAGTGTAGACTTCTGAATATGTAAGATACACCGAAAGTCCTTGTCTGAGCCTGGCTTCCTTAAGCTGAAACACCGTGTGCTTTGCATTGAGGACAATCGGGAGTCTGCTACAGGTGTAGGTGTTGCTCACAGAATCACAGAATGGTCAGGGTTGGAAGGGACCTCTGGAGATCATCTAGTCCAACCCCCCTGCCAGAGCAGGGGCACCTACAGCAGGTTGCTCAGGGCGGTAAAATACTAAAAGACACCGTTGCTTGCGAGCAGGGGAACCATATGGAGTGGAAGACAAGTAAGCAAGATGTATGTATGGTAGGGGACATCAAATAGCGTCTCTTGGGTTGTTCTCTGCCATGGGATTATTCATTGTAGGTATTACAACTTACTGCGTCAAAGGAACTGCAGGCTAAGGGTAAATACCATCTCTTTAATTT